TAAGGGTAAGTCAAAATATATATAAATATGTATTGTTTATATATATGAGGTTTTCAACTACTTGCATGTTATAAATTTTCTTTAATTTGATTTTTTTTCTGAAATACTCAAACAATCTTTGTATGGCAAGTCGTTAAGTCCTTCATACAATAAAAGTGAGGTGTACAAGAACCATGAAAGTGTGTAAAGAAAGTACATCTGTAAGCAAGTTCACCAAAAGAATCATCCAAGTAGCCCATAAATATTAATACACCAAACTCCACGCGACATACCCTTTTCAATCCCGTCCTGCAAGTTTGACCCACTTATTTCCGGATGAGTAAAAACCGCTGAAAGGTGGAATGGAACTAGTTGACTGAAATGATTGGTCTGGAGTCTAGACTTGTGTGTATACAAAAATCTGGAATGTTTTACCTTCAATACTTGCAAATAGTGTGAATCTCCGTACCTTAACGTGGCGGAACGTGGGACAGACACAGTCTTGTATCTGTTTCAGTAAACTATTTTTTCTGTGCTATCTATGGGTCGTATCTAACTATTAATATTCTATAATTACAATTTTATTAAGTATCTAGATTGAAAAAAAAATCTCTCTCACAACCACCGCATTCAGTAATTCCATGCTCTTATAAAATACGTTGATTTTTGAGAATTCAATTAAATGCATCTATCGTTAAATCATTGTTTTCGTAGCTCAGTTGTTAATACGAGGTCTTCAGTTCGAATCGATGTTTTGTTCGGATAGAGAAGTCTGATCAACTACTTGCCTGTAAATAAAATCGAAGAAGTGAAACAGATTTAAGAATGTGATCGACCCATGTCTCAAATTGTAAAGAGATTTCACCTACAAACACTGTCGCGTATGTGCATAATTGTGAAGCATTTTATGATATTATAAATACATATAAAAAGGCACATGTAACAATATTACCACAGACTATACTTAGATGACTGTACCATCTGTAAATTAAACCGGTCATAATGCATCTTAATACCATAGCATCATATAGGTATAAATTATTATTGCCCGGAGGCAATACATCTGTTTTCGAGCACACCCTCAAGATACAAGTCGCCTCGGGCTAGCGAGACTCCAATAACATGATTTTTGATATACATAATTGGTACACAGCTCAAACCGTACTACAGCTGTACACATTTGTATTTTAGATATAAAGAAGTCACTAGTAATTGATACAAAACAAGTAAACGTGGCCTATATTAGGTAGTAGCTAAACCTTTCGGATGCCTTTCATAAATGGAGGTCACTGGTTTCTTTTAAGAATATATTTCACGTTTTAAACCGCAAAGAAAAGTTTACTCTACAACGTACAGTTACCAATATAATTTGTAATGCAATTAAATATAACAATGACAGTCAGCCATTTTGTCCTCATACCATCGACCTTTAAACCACTTTATTTTTTATCATTTTTTGTGTGTCAAAATAAATTATGTTGTTAACCGAAATTGGTAGAAAACTTAAGCTATATTAAGCTACGGCTTATATAGCTTAAGTTTATATAGTATTTTTAAATTCTGTTTTACTAGTGGTAGATAGTCTTTTAGTATGAATATGTATATCAAATTACAATACTAAAGTAAATAGAAGTATAATTATATCCAAAAAACTATTGAATGTCTCAATATTGAATAGTTTTACACATCTTGGCATTTTAAGTAATCTTAGAATTTTTTTGAAGCAGCTGCCTAAAGCGGACACGCAAGATGTATTATTTATGTTTTTTGTGGTTTCCAATGTATCTCAATACGTGATTAAGAGAAAAAACGCTAACCACTAACACCTGGCACTTCAACTCGCAGACAAATAAAAACGTCTAATAATGACATGAATACAAAATAATTTTCAAAACAAACGATGTTTGTATGGAATGGTTAAAGTTTTTGGTCTTTGTGTTTGATTATATTATAATAAATTTAAAATAAGTTAAGTTAAGAACAGTTAAGTTAAGGATAACTAAATTGTTCATAAAAAGCGTGTCAGCGCTATAAATCTCGTATTTTTTCACTGTGTTAGTGTTCGTAACTCAGCTGAAATTGTACATTTGATTAGTGAGTAGTGCTTGTAGCGTTTTTACCATTAATTAATGTATTGATTAATATTTCAGACTAAAACTTTAAGATGATAAAATCTCAAATTGTGATATCATTCTTCTGTATTTTAAAAGGTATTTAAACATGAAAGGTGAAGCCTACCTTTTAACAATCGTAGTCATCTTAATAAATCCCTTCACTGAGTTTATACCTGACTTTAAATAGTTTTCGAGTATAAGTTTACAACCGATTACCCCACAAAAGTGTATAAGTATACATTGTAATAATATACATTTTCTACAATTTATAAAGCCTTTTTGTGAATGATTGGTGGGAAATTCTGCTAAAACTGATGGGTCGTGAAATATGAATTCGCCTTGCGGTTTTAATCTATGGATTTGGAAAGAAAGAGAATAGAGAAAGAAGATAGAGTATATTTTTGTTTTATATTTTTTAAACTACTATATTTTATTAATTATTGCTTCATTATAAAATCCTCTCACTTTTGGCGATTCACAGGTTAAGCGGTTTTGAAAGAATAAACATCGATTCATCCAAGCTCATTCCTACAACATAACATTTAAACCCCATTGTCGCTTGACACAATTTATGATACTGGACGCTAATTTTATCATTTTATTACACCACCTAAAATGACCTAAAAAGGTCGTAGAGACGAAATTTATTACAACCGAGGTACGACTGAACACGCTCCTAAAATCGTGATCATAATTTGAACTTCCCTGCCTAATAATGTTATTTTTATTCTACCAATAAGCAGATCGCGTGTCTAAAGGGAAAACAGTGGAAAGTTTCCTTCACTTGTCGGAAACTCTATGCCGACGTAATAGCGCCTAATTTCGCATGTTTTCAGTGCGTTTCAGTAAAATAGAGTCGTGAATTATGGTGTTCCGTTCGTCATTGTCCCAAAAGGCATATGATCGAGTGTTTCATAATGGTAGTTGACGATGGCTTTTCTGTATTTGTCTAACATTTGGTGTTCTGAACTTGCGTTACATCAATACGTTACACATCTCCACGGTAATAGCTCTCTAGTTCGTAGACTTGACATAAAGTATTGTTTTTAAAATTTGGCTTATCAGCAAGGTATTTACGAAATTTCCTTGCTGTGAAATTGACACATTAGGCCTTTTTTTTTTTTTTTCAAAGCACATTAAAGGGCGGGTGGTGTGTTTAGTGGTTCTGATTAGCTCTGGTCGGAAGAGTAATCTACAAATTAAAATATATCTTATCATTATACATACTAATAATTGTCTGTTTGCTTTCAGTGTCACTGAAATAGTATAGACATAATTAGGCAAGTTTTTTTCTGTTCTATGTATTTTGTTATTAGGAAACAAGTTCGTAGTGTAAGGCCATATTAGAGTCCCACCGCTGGGCACTAACTTTTATTTATTGGGATGGTATCAAGGTTGGTCTCGCGAAAGATAACTAAGGCAGATAAATTATAGATTAAAAGAAAAATGATCAAAATCGAAGCGATTTGACAAAGATGATCAGTAACCTTTTGGATTGGCTAAAGTCGCTCCATTACGTGTAAGAGCTTCTTATCGGATAATCTGTTACACTGTGATTTATAAAGGTCGCATGAATTGCCTATAGTGCTAGCATGTCTAAAAAGATACATAATTCATTGCGTGATAAATATTCTTTCGGAAATAGGAAATAAATAATAAAAGTACATGCTACCTATTTGGTTATTAAGTTACCTTTATTTTAAGTACATTAATCGATTCAATTAGAATATAAATTAATGGGACAAAAATATTATAATTTCGGTTTTAAATTAAAAATTGAAAGAATTTCACGACTCGGGCAGGACTGTGCTGTCGCGCTGTGGATATCGGTTCAAGTCCGTTAATTTAAATAGTGCCATCATGTGCTAATAACATGTGAAAAATAAATTACCCTCTGTAGGTTACGCGAGTAGTACACATTTAAATAATACATCTTAACGGTTTAAAAGGCGATATATTTTAGTTAAACCTGTTATGTTGGTTAAACGTCGGGCCGTCGTTAAAAATTTTCAAACAAGTTTAACTAAAACATATCGCATTTTAAACCGTTAAAATGTTTTATTTAAATGTGATAAATATTAAAGTTTTAATTCTACTAATTTGGTGTTGCTTTTACTACTAATAAAAATTTTATAACTTTACTCTCAAGTACATAACTCCAAGCCATAATATATAACTATATAAGCTTAATTGCAAATACACAGAATATCACACACACCTAATAGAATTTGTGCGATTATAACTAATTACTGTCCAAAGTGATAAATAACAGTGATTACGAAAGCTTTTAATAAATTGTAGCGTTCAGCAAAATTATTAGATGAATAGCTGAAAATCAACTCACCAATTTATTTTCACTTTTATTTTTCAATGATACAATTTTAACATTTGCTAGCGCGAATTGTATTGTTATTATTTTTTAACTATTTTTACATACTGATACGGATGCTTTGCAGCAGTGGTCACGAGCTAAATGTAGTTATTTAAAAAAATCCCTTAAAATGAAAGTTAATGTTAAAAAACATATTTCGTGTTTTATAGCGAAAAGTTATTTTTTATTTATACTACGCGCGAAAACAACAGACAATAGTACCCACGGCTTTACCTGTGTTTTTAGAACCAATGAGGTTGTATAATTTTAAAAAATGGATTAGTAGATCAAACAAACTCCACTGCTTTATATTAGGTGAACTGATCGTTAGCGTATATTTACTTGCTTTATTATATGAATATTAAATATAACCGTCTAATCTGTTAGTTGTGTAAGTTATTTGAGATTAAATAACCCTCTTATTTCCAGGTACATTCATCTGAAAAAATGACTTAAGAGGAACTAGCAGTGCAAAGTGTCAATTATACAATTAGTGCTACAACAAAGTTTTAGGTGTCGGCCAATGAGATTGGAATATGGCGCGGCAGAGGCCGACTACGAGGCACTTCCACAACCAGCCAGAGTTGCGCCGTGGTGACAGCTCCAGCCTCATGCTGAGGTGGATCTTCTTAGTCTGGTTGGCGAGCTACGGGCCCCTGGGAAACACCGTAAAACAAGACGGTAAGCTCTCGCACGTACACTAAATATTATCGATAAAATAACATTTAAGTTTAAAATACGAATTTAAGGAATCGGGTTGTTTAATTAAATAAAATGTAGTTCCACAAAACAGGAACGGCCGTACTATACAGTTATCAAGATACCGAAAACCTCGTATGAATTGATAATAATTTTTGGCTTCGTATTTACCTACACCACCAATGATAAAATAATATACAATACATTATAATATCTACGACCACCTCTGTAGCTGTGGTTAAACGTATTGCCTTGCATTGCGTTACGCGCGAGAGTTTCTGGGTTCGAATCTCAGGGTAACAAAAAAAAATGTTTCGGTCGGGCAGGGAACAGAAGTCTGATCGCCCCATGAGGGGGAAACGGGATTTCACTTTTATGTCTACACTTTGCAATTATTTGGATATGTTATAAGAAGTTACTAGAGTCTACTACTAGAGTACTAGAGTACTACTTACTAGAGTAAGAACTACTGTGTGTTTTAGTCTGGATCTGCCGTTCCATACATTTCAAGACAACTAAAGTATAGAATAGTCGAGAACAGTATTACAGTTATTTTCATTACCTAAAAGTAATTAAAGCCTTAATTACTTGAAAACAATCCGCTGTGACAATTTTAAAATCAATTAAACTCGTAGCGTTGTTATTTTCGTTTAAATTGCCAGGTGTCAGGATTTAATTAATAATTTTAATACGTTGTACCAAGACGGAGCTGGTAACATTTTTCGTAGCTGCCAACGACCGTGACGGAGGGATGCCAGACAATAGTTCCAAAAAACAAGAGCCTTTTGTTTCAAGCGACGCCCCCTGACAGCAATTAATGTTGTATTTTACCTTTATCAAACCATGATAGAGCTATAACGAGCATGGCGTACCTGCCCCACAAAATATCAAATGTTCTTCTTAACATAAACAATTGATTCAAACCTGACAAACCTCCTATAGTCTTTTGACAGCTAGTTGGTGTAACGGTAGCAATGTACGGCTAATCAAATCACCGTGGGTTCGATCCCCACCGGGTTTTTTTCTAACGGTTTAAAACGCGATATATTAGTTAAACTTATTTGAAAATGATTTTTAACTTCGGCCCGACGTTTCGGATGCTTTGCAGCAGCCGTGGTCGCGGCTTTAAACCGTTAACGTGTTAAAATAAGTCGATAGCGTATCTTGTTTAGATCCTATAGATTGGGGTATTTCTACTAAGCGAACCCCGTGCTTGTCTACCCTCCTTTATAATTAAAAGTCTTATTTAAATGGCCTATGCAACTCTGAATCACCAGCACTACAAGGTTCGGAAACCCTCGATTACAACTACTTGTAACGGAGATAGTGCTGTATCTATTCCATTCCTCACATAGCGAGATATACATTGTCATTGCAGAAAAGATCTTCACTATCACCGATACTTACGAGTATTACCTTAAAACAAAAAATGTGCTGCTAAACCTGTTAAAAACTAAATGACAATTCACTAAAGAGCTTTGGAACCAAGTAGTTCTCGACCGGATATAAATCGCGGGAAATAAATGCAGTGAGCTGTTTCGAAAATACCGTTCATTTTAAACATGTTTTTCATTTACACTGTATTCAGGAAAATATTGTTAATAGATATATTTAAAAAAAAAATAGTTACTAGGAACGTATGTTTGTCAGCTATGTATAGCTATGTATAGGCTGCTAGGGGCACAGTGACCTAATTATAAAAAACATAACTAGCGTAATTAACTTAGGCGGAAATGAATTTGTACTATTATTTGTGTAAAAATTATGTTAACAATTTTCGTTCACTGTGCTCTTATAGACTACCATTACTATAAAAATATAAATAGGTCTAGTCATAAAATTGCAGTTAGGCTACTCTGCCTCTAGCGGCAATATATCTACATCTAATATGCACACATATTACAAGTTATATTATAAGTGCATAGGTTAATTTATTGTAAAAACCATCTATAGAAGAAAACTTTCTCAATTTCACCTGCTACACCAGAGTGAAGGAAATTTTTGTGGCGTGTTCGTTACTCCAGCCAACTTCCCAGACGTCTACAATTATTGTAAAAGTGCTAAGTCCTAAGCTACGTTTGAGTGCTGCCCCGTGGGTAAAGATGAATACTAACCAGAAAAATAAAGTTGCCCCCGGATTAAGTGCTTGGACGTGACGTCGATAAGCACCATTTTTCATTCTAAAGTTCTTATATTTTCACTGCGTTATCTTAGAAAGAGACGACTATTAAACGAGGGTATACGTGTCTCTTTCACGCGGTTTTTATACTTTTGTAGCTGCAGCCCCCTTTAAGTATATACTTAAGCTATCCTAAATTTAGCTAGTAAAACTTTGTTCAACTTTGTATAACAAGGCTTCCACATAACATTTGATTTCCCTCCAAAGCCATAATTATCATTGTATATAGATGTACCATCACTCTAGTACAAATATATCATTGTTCTAGTCGCAGTATATTGTCTGCGAAATAAATATCGTAGGTTCGTTTAACCAAATCTAGCTTAATATATAGGGTTCCATTGTCTTTCCCAGAACAAAATGAATTTAAGGACAATTTCAATTCTCCATACAGCTCCCAGCCAGATAGCACACATCTCTTATTATTTGTTAGCCAGTTCAAGCTTTGTCGTACACAAAGAACTTCAATTGAAACGGTATAGATCTGTTCGGAGTACAGGCTGTCTCGCTCCGCTGCTCCTAATAAATTGTAACTAGGTTGCTGACTTTGTTCAATTAAAATTCAAAGAAGAAAAAATTACTTTTCCACGATTGAAGACGTTAATTGCATTGGGGAAAACTTAGTTATCCAAGACTTGTGGCTTTTTACTTTGCATTCGAACATCGATTTCTTTTGTCAGTCACGAAAGTTAATTACGGCGTTGTACAGATGTCTAAACGATTTCGTTGTCACATAGAATATTATATGTATTATGAAATTAATCAGCTGGATTTTATTCTCTATATAAATCCCGTATAGAACTTTAAACGAATACGACAAAACATACAATATCTTCCGCATAACTAACTGTGGGGAAACCCTATCTTTATCACATAAAAAATGAAAATTAATATTTAAATTAAAATATAAACTTAGTACACTCGAATGCCAAAAACAATGATTAACAAAGGACAATTTTAAGGCTATTTGAATTTAGAAGAGAAAAAAGGCTAAATCCACCCGAAACTCATCAAGTGAAGCGAATTAAAAAAGGTAATAGATACAGGCATTTACCTGAAAGGGAAGAATGACAAAGCGCCCGCTCTAATGTCATGGAAACGGAATAGATCGTTAGTGGAGGACATCAGTCAACCGCCCTGAGTGTATGTATTGCCTTAGTTAACACCGACTGGCTTTGCTTGCTAACAGCTAACAATTGAACTTGTCTGGACATTGAATATGGTCAGCGGAGGGCGATTTTGCAAACAATAAAATGAAGCTGCAGATATTTTCTTAATACAGAGTACGTACGCTCTTAAAATTAGCAAATTATAAACTTGCATATTAAACTACTTTCTTTTTTAACAACAAAATTTAAATATAACAATCTAACAACCTTGACTTACGAAGTCAATAATGACATCGTCTTGTTTATGTGAATAAAAAACACGATTCTTTAATCAAAATATATTTAGTATTCTTTGTGAATATTAAAAGTATTATCAAAAATATTCTCATTAATAACGCCGTATTATAAACAAAAGTCAAACCCGAATTGCAGAGATAAGATTCATAAAATATAAAAATCTCAAGGGACTACATTGATGTATTACCAATCGTACTTAGTCTAAGTACAAATAAACCAAAACATAGATGAGCTTTTAATTTGATTATATCAAATCCCGGATGTTTAAATTTACCTATTTGGATTCTTGTGTTATGTAATTTCACTTAAGGATAATAAAAATAAATGATAAAGATAACGAAATAAGAACAATGTTATATTTCGCCACTGATTTGAGCTTGACCATAAAATCTACAAAAAAGTTAAGATTTTGTAGTTGTAAATTATAAATAATATTTAGATTCACTTTTTTCAATATGACGTTATAAGACGCATGTATAGTCACGTGCCTATAATATACTAAAAGAAGCATTAGTAATTAAAACAATGGAGATTCATTATTTATATAATTCCAAATTCAGCCCGGTTAATCTTTAAGTCCGTCAGTAAGAAAAATATGAAATACTGACTTTTCTATATTTCTGCGCCATGGCCGACTAGACCTATATATTGTCTTGGACCAGGAATTCGAACCTCTGTACCTATTACCACTACGCCACGGAGGAGATCTGGGATTTTACAAACCATATACTAAGACACATTAATGACCTTCCAGACCTAAAAGCGCTATTAACCTGTCACTAGGCTCATTCCTTCTGTCTACAATGGGATTACAGTAATAAGGATTCTAAGATCAAGGTCTGTCAAGTGTATAGTGCCAAGGCAGACGTATTACTATATGTATTTAATTAAGCTATTTTAACTTTTACTCATTTCTTGAAGGTAAAAAGAAATCTACTTAATTGTTACTAGTTTGTTTTTATAATAAAAATAGCCCTTTACATAATGTGTCTTATTTTTAAAATGACACAACACTAACATACTTGGGCTTCACTTACAGGAATGTAAATGGCCCAGCTATACAAACATGTAATTACATTGACTTAATTCAGTTTTTTGCCATTCGCTTCTGATTCTTAACGACGATCTACGAAAGCGCTGTAATCCATTGATGGACGCGTTAGCCATTTATCTAGGAAGGCTCTAGGCTACATAACATCAGGCTGCGACCAATTGTAGTGATGAAACAGGGAAATGTGGAAAGAACGAGGAAAAAATATTAATTTCTTTGAGGGTTCCGTTTTCGAAAATCGAAATCCAAAAAGATCTAAACACACAAAGAAAAAAAAATGATGTAAATATTTAAATAGTACCTTCCATAAAGGTGAGTGACCCACCTGCCATTCTCTCAACCATTGTAAAAAGTATTCCAAAGCACACAGGGTATATGTATCAATTTAGAACTTCGTGATTAATGATGCTGTATATCAATTACTGCTGTCAGATACACCTTCGAGGGTGGAATTTTCAAGGGGGAATAATGGTTACTTAAGATACCTATCGTGTTTATCTCAAAAATTGTGGTAGCGACACCCTTATCTCGAAATTTTATGTCATGTTATTTCTTTGTAAAGCTTTTCGATACAACAAAAATAATTTATCGAGTGATATCTGACAAAAATTGCTTTCATCTTCGACGGTTTTGTTATGAATACGGAGATAACATAGAAATAACATTGGATATAAATGTGTCATATCTAGTAATGTCATTAAAACTTCGTATCGAATTACAAAGTTTTAATTAGCAACGATTGTTTTTTGTTTCTATAGCTTAGTGGATTACGTTTTACTTACGAGGTGTCTTTAGTTCGATTTATCGCAAAATAAAATATACGATTCGTTTCGCGTAGCGAAGTAAGCGTTGTTAAAATATAACTTAAATACTGTCTATAGTTTACGCGAGTAGTACACATTTAAATAAAACACTTTAACGGTTTAAAACGCGATATATTAGTTAAACTTATTTGAAAATGATTTTTAACTTCGGGAGACAGTCTCCCCGTGACCACGGCTGCTGCAAAGCATCCGAAACGTCGGGCCGAAGTTAAAAATCATTTTCAAATAAGTTTAACTTATATATCGCGTTTTAAACCGTTAAAGTGTTTTATTTAAAATATAACTTACTAATCGTTAAAAATTTCATATTCAATAACATAAGCCGTTAGCAGTTAAACTTCTAAAACACCTAAAATTCGAGTAAATCCGTAGCAGTTTTAACGAAACGTTGCCGAAAACTGCGAGCTAAAAACCGGGTATGGGAATATGCTTGCGTAATTTCAGCCGGTAAAGTAAACTCGAACAAATTAGGTTAACACGCTCTGCCCGCCCGTGGTAACTATTTATTAAAAAACAATTAACTTTTCATGGTGTAACGGGAGTATTAAGTTGTACAAAACTGTTACAAGTACTTTAATTCAGAGGAGGAGAAAGGCAAGCTATGGAGTTTACTTAATGGAAGATAAAATACCCCAGTCATTAAACATCAAGGCATTTGCTGGCGACTCACTTTGGCTTCGGATATTTGCAATCAGACAGATTAAAATCGAACCGCTATCAAACTGCATAGCTTTTTCATCTGTGGATAGTGATTCGTTACCCGGGCGGATATTTCGATTATCCTACCACCAATTTAATATATATGTTTCAGGTAAAATTATAAATTGTTTTAGAAACGTGTGGGACCCTATAGGGATCGTTCCAAGGACCCGTTGTTTATTGGCAATGCATTGTTACCATTACACCAACCAAGCCTATCAATGTTTATGTAAGATTTTGCGTTTACCACGTTGGGAACTGATTGCATTTAGGAATCAGTTTCCAACGCACTAGAGGTAAAGCTCGAGAAAACAAAAGTTAAGGACATGGCACAGAAATCTTCTCAACTACCCACTTCTTACTAAAAATCGACCAGGAAAACAAAAACGGAAAAATGTCCGCCCCATAACAGAGAGAAAAGGATTTCACTCAACCTTATTAAACCTCCTACCATTCAATAAATTCCCACGCTGTTTCAATTAATAGCCTGAAAAAATCAATCCGTTACACTGCTTCAAACAAGTCTTGAACGAATTTATAACTTTAATAATGATGTTCGTAATAATAACGCCGCTGGGATTGCATTGGATAACTACCAAGCTGAAAGAACGGATTATTAAATTTTCAATGTAAATATTTACTTTTCACTTCAATACACTTTAAGTTCGTTAATGGGACTACGTTATACTCTATTAAAGGCGTAATTTTGCGTTTTATTTATCAGTTGCTATGGAAACCACAGATAACTTACAGATTTAAATTATAAATACTTGGAATTGAAGAGAGAGAAAATAAATGATTGGATAAGCATAGAATGAGTACTAAACTGGTACTAGTAGCCAAAAAAATGCATCGATGAAGAGGTGGACTATCTTGTAATGTTTTATTAGTTTGTTAATAGGTGTAAATATTTTTTTATTTATTTTAAACCTACGAAGCTTTATTAAAGCTAAATGAATATTGGCTCATGGCTCAGAAATAATTACAGTTGAAACTG